TATATATATATATATATATATATATATGTATATATCATCTTTTGTTAGCCTTACCTTTTGTGTTAACTATACAAACCAAAATAGTCCAATAGGAATTCATATTGGTTCATGGTTGATAGTTTACTACATATTTAATAACTGAGGGCAAATTAGTAAGAATATTTTTACAAAATATGAGAGTTACATTGTTCCTAAATTTTGGCTCTTTTCAAATTTGTATGTGTGTTTAACTTATTATGATGAATGCCCTTCACAAATGAAATTTGTATGTACGTTTAACAAATTATGATAGAGTTACATTGTTTTTGTTCATTGGTAAACATTGTTCACTAGTCACACATACGTACACATTCAGGTATGTGTTTACTAATGAACATTTTCATATATGTTATATTTTTATTGATAACAATGTTCATAAGCTACTCATATATAACAATTGTTCATTAATTCACACAATTCATAAGTTACACATTACATATTAATAAATGAAGAAATAATATATTAAAGCTTGATGTCGGTTTCAAAATGATGAAGTAATTACCGGAAAAATAATTAATGTTAAAAAAATCTCTCTACCTTTTTTCAAAATTACCTTTTATTCATGATTGTTTCCTATGTTTATTAAACATCTTTTTTGAATTTATTTTTGGTTTAATAATATAATTTTTATGAAGATATATACTTTTAGAAGTCAATAATTATCTTAATTATATTTAGATTTTATATTTAAAATAAGAATTTTATCATGTATTTGATTATATTTATTTACAATTAGTTACACGAATTCAATCTTGAAGCTTAATAAGTTGTATTTAAACATAATTTATTTATAACCTTAAATTTTAAATAATATATATTAATAAATAATTTTTTATACATAAAAAATTGATTTTCAAAAGTTTTTATAACAAAATCATTATGCATTTTCGTTATCATTAAAATAGAGCTTGATATAGCATTTAATATTTTTAAATATATATATATATATATATATATATTAATAGTTTAGTAACAAATGTCTCAAAATCTCTGACAGCTTACACAAAATTTGCATATACAAAAATACACTCACATCCGTACATCTCTGCAGCTCAAGCTTAAATTACCATACTGCCCTCGTTTTAATACATTTACAAATTATCTAATTAATAATTTTCTCGGAAGTCAACCAGAAAATCGTCGATATTAAACTCGCCCAGCTCCTCGCCGCAGTAATTCTCCGACGCCACAAAATCCGGCAAGTTAAACGGCATGTCGATATCAAATCCCAGGGAGTCCACGTCACAGCACCCTAGTCCGTGGTCAAACGCCGTTAGCTCGGGGTTACCGTACAGCACAGACGTCGGTGACATAGCGGTGTGGTTCAACGGTTCTTCGCTGCAGCTGCTACTGGTGGTCGTCGCTGTTTGACTTTGGCTCTCGACGGTTACGGTTCTGGTGACGGTGACACGAGGAAAGTTTGTAACGGCGGCAGGGCCTTTCAATTTCAGGGCAGCCTCGTCGTACACCGTCGCAGCTTCCTCAGGTGTGTCATACGTCCCTAGCCAAACTCGTTTCCTCCGATGAGGATCACGGATCTCCGCCGCCCACCGGCCCCACGGCCTCCGACGAACACCTCTGAACTTCTTCTCCATAGATCCAGCACTTCTTTTTCGTTGCTCCTGCTTAGCAAAACTCGAAGATGGCGTGCTAAAATCGATTACAGAAACATGCTTCTTCACTCTCTTAACAACCGGTACTTCTTCATCGCCGGAAGAATCGGTAGCATAGGGATCAGTTAGCGTGATCCTGACGATCCTCTGCTTAATCGACGTCGCCGGAGTCTCCCCATGAACAAATTTACTCGTTGTTACGACGTGCTCTGAGAATCTCACGGCCGATCCTATGGAAATCGTACGATCGAACTCCATACCCGATCTCCCGTCAAAAAACGAACAAATCAGGGCTTGTTGGAGCTCCGATGTTTGTTCCTTTTAGCAACTACAAAACCGAGAAGAAGAAATGGAAGGAATCAACACCGAGTCGACTCAGCTTATGGGTATTTTGGCGGGAAACCTTCCCTCCATTTCTTCTTTGTGGGCAAGATCTGTAGGAACAAGAGTGTATATAAAGGAGAGAGAGGGAGGTCTGAGCAAAAAGGCTCCACTCCACTACCATTACCATCCAAGTACACACTACAGTGAAAATAAGTTTACTCTTTGGTCCCTACACTATTACTTTTTTCTTCTTTCAGTCCTTCTACTTCCAACTTCCCTGTTAACCATACCATATGCACATCCCCTTCTTTCTCTCATTTTGGAAATTGCATGAAATCTATTGTTCTTGTTATTTGCTTTTGATCACTCATGGCTTTAGTTTTCACTATTTAAATTGATTGGGATAGTAATGGGAAAGGCAAAAGTGAAGGGGGCAGATAAACGATAATTGAAAAGTAGATGGGTTAAAATGGAAATAGTTAGGAATTTTCTTGTGTACAGTTTGTGGTGGTGTTGGATGGGAAACAGATAGCGATGGGGCAGGTGGGAGTTGGGGTTTCATAGAAAATCAAACGTGATTTCCCTCTGACCCAGTCAAACCCATGTTTTGACTCATTGCTTCCACCTTACAAATTCCTCTGCCAAATGTGCAACCCTTCTTTATAAACTTCTTTTTTTTTTTATTCAACATAAATTCCTTATAATAAAAAAAATTAAGAATTTATTCAAAATACATGTTATACCATCTCAATTCCTCTTTTTAAAATAGTTAAGGATTTGATCCTTGTAGTATGAGTTATGTAACATTTTTAGTCCCTGTCATTAATTTCGTTTAAATCCTTTCTGTTATCTTATATTACACGGTAGTAATTTAGGCTTTCTAACTGTCAATTAGAATTAGGCTTTTAGAAACACTTAAATGTTGTCATGTGTCGTTCTGTCCCACACTCCTTTCCTCCCATCTTTATTGATGGACACCTTCTCCTCAGTTGAATCATATCATCGGGTTTGATTTTTAGGTAACTAATTTTGAAATGGGTTTTGATCATTAACTAACTTCCCATACTTGTTTTCATCTTTTAGTGTATGGTTTAAATATAAAAAACCCCATTAAATGTAGGGTTCATAATTAAATGAAACATAAACACACTTTTCTTCAATTAGATCCATATTTGCTCTTGTGGTTGTGGGTAGTTTATGCGGTGGACTGATTGGTCGAGGGGTGGTTCCTCGGTCAACCCCAATTAAAAATGCAGTCCATAAAGGTCTCAACATAGATTTGAAACGCTACTACCCATTCAATTCAAAGCCCTACTCTTAACCCATATCCGCAATCCATTTTTGTATGTGTTTGTGTTGTGTGTCTAATGGAGGTCTCAACCCAAATCCTACTCTCCCTTTTCTGGTTTATTTGATGCAATCTCTCCCTCCGCTTGTGGTTTATGGTGGTGTTGGTCACGAATGAGATGACAATAAACAGAAAGTAATTGTAGAAGGGCGAGTGAATACAATTACACATATTTTTTTCAACCTTTTAATTCTTCTTGATGTATATCAGAAATTAACACACAGAGATACAATACAGATTGTTGCATAAAAAAGAAATGATAACCTAACCTAAACAATCTTACATAGAGAAGAACTTACAAGAACAACACAAAAAGTACTTGCAAGGAAATGAAGAACACTAAGGTTTTGTTCACACACACGAGAGTAGTAAAACAAAGCCGATTGCCTTGAGAATACACTTAGAAATTCTTTCAGGGAAGTGTAGTTTGCATGGGAGATGCACTCTGCCTTTTATACTACCTTCATACATTTAATGCATGAGACTCTTGTTACCTTAGTATAAGAAGGTAGGAGTTGACTTGATCATAGTTGATATAACAGTTTCATCGTACTCTGCATATACACATTACTGTTCATGTAGAGACAAATCTATTGATAAGGAATATCTTTATCAAGTACATGTTTTGCAGATATATAGTCAGTTTGTAGGAAGATCTTCTTTGGATGAATTAGTAACTTTAGATAGCTACTTACAAATCTCAATACATGAAGATCTTCCTTCAATCGTCTAGTAGCTTCAAAGCATTTTCAATCTCCAAATAAACTACTTTGGAGTCTAGGTGTGTAATTTAGATAGTTGATCCACAGTACCGCATCGGTGACCTTCTGTCTTTACATCGGTTAGTCTTTAAGAAAGTACCAAGAAACCAATATACAAAGAAGCAAATAACTACTAAGTGTTGATAGGATAGTGGGACAGATCAGTAGGTCATCACCAAATCAATAGGTGACCCAACAATCTTCTCTATTTGATGATGACACAAACACTTAGAAAGAAATAAATACAAGATACACAAACTCTAAAATTCTTTGAGAATAAGAACTTATAAATTCGGTGACCCTTGTATATATTTTCTTTGGGATCTATTTTTTTTGTAACTGTAAACATATATACAAAATAAGTAATGAATCAAATAATGTAACAAATAAAGAATGAAGAAATATAAAGTAAATACTGAAATATAAATTGCATTTATATTAGACAATGAATTTAAAGTATATAAAGAAGAGAGTTCAAGAAGAAGAAAACACGTGAGGCTCAATATCTGTATCAACAACACGGCGTGAGGCTTAATGTCTGTATCATCGACGCCTACGAGAAACGGGTCACCGATTACCATCTTAGTGGAGGTAGTAGGCTAGTAAGGCTCACCACCCACATCCATAAGCAAATAATAAAGAAAGGGGATGTCATCGTCAATCTAAGCTGAAAGTTCTTGGATGATCTAGCCCATTTTTTAAGAATGAATTTTTCTTTCTCAAGCTTCTGGTGGGCCTTGGTTCTTTCTTTGTTAAAAACATTGTTAATTAACTTTTGTTCTTTCAGACTATTTTTTTTTAATTTATCAAAGTCTTTCAGTTGGTTCATGCATTTCTGTAATTGACTAGTTAGCCTTTTAAGTTGAAGGTCAGTTTTCTTCTTAGCAGATCTAGCATTATATAGATCAATACATAAGAAAGTCAAAAGCTTTAACCTTTTTCAGATTCAAAAAGAGAAGAGAAGTTCTTTGACTTTCTTGGAGGTAGAAGGTACATCAGCAGCAATAGAGGTAGATCCCTTTATTAGAGTCTTCAATCTCCCTTATTTTATCCATAAGACATAGTTGTGCGGTATCCTCATCACTCAAGGAAGTGGTCGGTTTATCAATCTAGTAATGAGTCTCAGCCATGAGATGTAACACACCAAGATCATATTTGCATATAAACATATATTTCCATATATCAAGAAATATAACTTTACACATTCGATCCCAAATGTATACAAAATCTACAATACAAAAGTAGTTACCAAATTTTTCCAGGCATCTTAGTACAAAACTTGTATTCAAATACAAAAGATAACACAACTTCCCAACATCCTATGCAAACAAATATAAATTCTTCACAACTTTTCCTTCCCCTTATTGTTTGATTGTGCCCGACCTGTAATGCACATTTTGAAATACAAATGAGGGTTACACCTTGAGGTCTGGTGAGAAATCATTTTGATTGCCATTACAGGGTGAAAATCACCAAAACATCTTTTTGGAAAAATCCTTGATGAAAGATATCATAAAAATAAGATTTAATTTAACAAACCTTCTTTTGTCGTATCATAAAGATGATATAACTAAATTTTATCGCACTAAACATTATAATAAACAATTTTTCGACCAAATTCATAATACATCAACTTGTCACATTAAACATATAAATGAGCATATTTTGTTGCATCCAACTAATGCGATAAACCCAATTTTTCATATCAAGCACATAAGATAACCACATTTGTCGCACCACACTGATGCGATAAACACACTTGTCGCATCTCAAGGATGCGATAAACCAACTCATCGCATCAAGCACATGCGATAACCTCCCTTTGTTGCACCACACTTATGTGATAACAGTAACTTGTCTCACCATATAGATGTGATAAACCCATCATGTCGCATCACAATGATGCGATATTCACAATTCGTCACATCACACTAATGTGATATAACCAACTCCTCGCATCATACTAATGCGATAACAATATCCCATGATCAAAGATCATCATTTCCAGAAATTGATTATGCATATACCCATCTCCTGATTATGCCATCCTTATTTAAAAAAATATACTCAAATCTTGATTATGCCACCCTTATTACCAAATATACCCATCTTCTGATAATTGGGTAAGGATGGAAGTCTGCAGACTTATCTTCAGAAACTCGAGCTAAGGATGGAAGTCTGCAGACTTATCTTCAGATATCTGAACTGTGCTTACAAGACTAAGTCTAAATTGCAGACTTATCTTCAGAGATCTGAATTGTGTTTACAAGACTAAGTCTAAATCTGCAAATTTATCTTTAGAGATCTAAAAAAGAAGACTTTAGAGTTCAGGTGAGTTTCTCAGGCGTACAAGTTCAAGTGTGAAGAGTCATTCTTTAGAGTTATTTCAAGAGCAGACCTAAAGAGCGCCTAAGTGTGAAATCTGAAGACGAAGTCTAAAGACCTTGAATTCAGAGTTATTTTAACTCTGAATGAGAGGATGATGTTGATCCGATAACATCCTATTTGCGATAAAGATTATCTTTCCATGTTTATAGGATTCAGTTTTATTGTTTATTTTATTCTTTATATAGATAGGTTTACTATTATGTTTAATAACGATTGATTAATTCATTCAAGCATTGTATTAAAAAAAGGAGCAAGGTCATGCTTCAACTATGGAAATGTTGGACATCTTGTCAGGGAGTGTAGGTTCAAAAAGTCTAGGGACTCAGACTACTACTCCAAAAAGCTAAACATGGCAAAGAAGAAGGAGCAAGGCCAAGTTCTTATGGCTGAAGAAGAGAACTGGCTTGAATGGTCTTCTTCAGATGAAGAAACTGCTTATTACACAA